GACTGACTATGAGAATGGATTTGGTAACCTTACTGGTGAGTTTTGGTTAGGAATGAGCAAGATTCATCGTCTTACTAAAGAAGGATCAAACATACTAAGAGTGGACCTAGGAGACTTTGAGGGGAACACAGTTTATGCTAACTACTCTACATTCAGTGTTGGTAACAGTAGTACTGAATATATACTAACAGTAGGAGGATACTCTGGTACTGCTGGGGATTGTATGGACTTGTATAATGGATATAGATTCACCACAAGAGATAATGATAATGATGCATGGCATTGTAATTGTGCTCAAGACTTCACTGGTGCCTGGTGGTATAGTAAATGCCTTAATTCAAATCTTAATGGTCAGTACTTTAATACTGCAACTTTGGATACTCAAGGAGTTACATGGTTATGCTGGAAAAATAATTATGCTACTCTCAAGTTCTCAAAGATAAAAACTAGTCATAACAATTACATGTAAATACTGTCCCCCACACACATAAGTGTGTTCACATTTCAATACATATGTACATGCATGTATACCTTGTAGTGACAACAATAATTATTTGAAAAGATTAATTATTTAATTTCAATGATTTGTAATTATCATCGACACAAACATGTACAAATGATGCAGTCAAACAGCGTGATTATAATTACCAATTATAACATTGTACAAACAAACATCTACCACTTCCAAAAAGTACATTGTACAATGCTGACCACAACATAGTCAAACAATAAAACTACACAGTATCATTACAACAGTACCATTCTGCCAAGAAATACTGTATAGCGCTTTCATTTGGCAACTTGGCTGTAAAATTATAATTGGCGGTTTTTAATTTGGCGATATTTGTGTACACGTGCATTACTGAGCATGCACATTAATGATTGGCAGTTTTGATATTGGGAATTCAGCTTGTAAACTGCCAATCGCCAAAATAAAAACCTGCCTAATTAAAACGCTATATGGTATAATGTAATGCAAACATGTACATGCATCCTTCCCAAATATTCAGTATTCAATGCCCACTATAGCATACTGTACCTGTGAGACAGTGGTTTCCTCCCTGGGTCAGTCAGTGGGTTACATGCTCCTACAAACTGTATCCTCTCTATTGTCACCCACGTGTGGTTGGAGGTCCTGTAAAATCCACTGTGCTTGACAATCCGATGTAAGAACAATTATACATGAACTCTCTGTGTACGTTTAATTAGAAAAAAATAATTTTTAAATGAAATATTAAAAAAGACAATGACATTTCTCTAAAGTGTATTTATATTGAATGGATTCACATACAGTAAGTCATCAAATTCTTGTTACAACTTTATATTTAATAATTTTATTGTAAAATCAATATTCCTTACCATATTTGTCAAAGTCTGGAAGGTTAATCTTGTCACAGAAAAGAACCAGCCACTTTCTGAGATGAGCCGGAGCCATCACGACTCCATTAGGAGTCCTCTTATATTGACAGTAATGATTAAACATCTTTAATAATAACTTGGGGGTAGTGGCTGAGGAGAAATTAAGACCAACAACCTGGAGTAAAACAGAAAAGGGGAAAGATGATTGTTAAACAGATAAAACAAAGAAGACAACAAAGACATTTTCACATAGAAATAAGCAAGTATAAAATGTCATGCATTGTACTGTATAGTGGGAAATTTTGGAGGGGATTAAATTTGGCAAATTTCGCGTCTTGATAGCCATCCACCAAAATAAAAATCCGCCATTTTAACCATTATATGCATGCTCAATGGCATGTGGCCACAAATTTGCCAAATTAAAATTTGCCAATCACCAAAATTTAGCCCCTCCAAAATTACCTGCTATACGGTACATGTACTGTAGAGTACGCTCGTAAATACATGTACATGATATATCAGGTACATATACATTGCACATTTTGTAATGCATATACACAATCAAACTCACTTCAATATCAGGTAGAGCATGAAGAGCAGAGAACAGTGTCATGGTTTTACCAGAGCCAGGTGGACCACACAGTACCATCAGCTTATGCTCCCCCAGCCATGTATAGAGGAGACTCTTGTGCCTCACTGTATTAAGAGTAGAGACCACGACATCAGGAGAACCTACTTTATGAGTCTCAACTTCAATCTTGGGTACTCTAAAGAGGGGCATTAAATAGAAAGCAAGGACATTAAATAGAAAGTGGGGCATTAAATAGAAAGTATAACATTAAATAAAAACAAGGCATTGAATAAAAGCATGGCATTAAATAGAAAGCAGGGCATTAAATAGAAATATTAGTCTGTTAAATTACCTGTTAGACCATAGTACCCATTCTCCTTGAAGATTAACCTCGAAATCAATGATGGGGGCAGTACCAGGTGGTAGAGGTATGGTGGTTGTCCCTATTATAAAGTCGCCTACCTTCTCCCGATAGACCATCTTTCCATCTCTGGAGAAGCACCAGATCAAACAGGATACGAAGTAGCAAGGAACGTAGGCCTTGAGCTGATCGGAGAGCATAGGAAAGTCCGGGTGTGACTGGTTGTAGGAGACTATGTTTCGGATCATCTGGTGGAACATTGAGAATAGAGAGTTTAGTGCCCTGAGGCGAGTGAAGTCCATTATGTGGTCTAGAGTTGCAGGGTGTTCAAGACAGCGAGGAACCATACCGTCTGAAGCAAAATGAGAATGTAATAGATCAGCACAATCTCTCTGGACCTGGAAATACATGGGCAAAGGGATAAAATTTTGCAAGCAAGCAGTTAAGAAAGTAAATGAATCATTTAAGTAGAAGATGGTGATTATTGCATACATGTATGTGTACATGCATGGAAAAGTCTAATAATATATGCTCACAAAACTGATTCAAAATTGAATGGGTAAGAAAAATAAGTCATAAAAACTAACAAAAATACATGTGCATACAGTACATGCACATGTATGTACAGGTGTTAGCTTACCTGCATATTATGCAGGAGAAATGGTCTTCTGATTGAAGGTGCCCCTCCTCCTCTCAGTTCCTCCTCTCCCTCGTCAATAGGCATTGATTTCAGTTTCAATATGAAGTGATCAAAAACCATATCAAGTGTTAAGACGTCTTCACTAAACCAGACCATACCACAGCAACTCACAGTGGCTAGGGTAGCAAACTTAAGGTCTTGTACTTCAAACATTATACGAACCTAGAGAGTATACAGAGATTTACTAATAATATACTAAACATAATAACATCATTAAAAAATTATGGGTGCTCTGACATTACATCATTTTTGGCGAAATTTAGACAATGTCCCTGTACTATAGTAAGGGGGTGTTGGCCAAATTTTGCCAAAAATGTCAAGTTGAGAATTCTCAATTTTTATAACATTTTCTGATGCACATACATGTCCTTATATTCTGTAGAATGTTTGAGCTGATTTTGGTTGAATTTGGATTTTTTATGAATTTTTTAAGCTGCTCCAAAATCGAGCCAAATTCCCTGTACTATAGTACAGGGGCATTGGCCAAATATTGCAAAAAATTTCAAGTATAAAATTTTCAATTTTTATGATGTTTTCTGATGCACATACATACTCTTATGTTGTGTAGAAAGTTTCAACAAATTCTAATTAAAATTAGATTTTTTTTTTGTTAGAATCCTGTCTTAGTCATTTTTAACAAAAATTGAAAGCTAGCATGAGCATGCATGCTCAGTTTGAAACAAAATGGCGGATTTTATATTGGCGATTTCTTCATGGAAATGTCGATCAGCAATATTAATTCCTCACCAATAAATCATCTTGTACGGTATAATTCTACATGTACATGTACATGTATATAAAGTACAGAAGAACTCTCAAATAAAAATGTATGAAAATGTAGAAGCTATTGTTAAAATAAAGATGAGAAATAGAAGCCCAGGCTTTGCATGTACAAGGATTTATAGGACAATATAATAATGCTTAAATCCAATACACAATGTATGCAATAATGCATGTACATGTACATGTACACTGCACATACAGCAGAGCTCAAGGCCAAGTTAATACACTTACGTTATTTAAACGCTTACAAAACGGTACTGTTACTAGTATGGTCTGTAGTTCAGATTTTAAAGTATACTTTATACGAGATGTTTATACAGTAACATTATAACATGATACGCTACATGAACATAGCATTATACAGTAGAAACGGTAAACTAACGTTAAACTAATGCTAAATGTTCAAGTATTACGTATACAGTAAGTGCTAGCGCTATGGTACGTACATACTTAATACGTACGGGCAAGTTACGGTATGAAATTGCGTATCAAAGTTAACTTGGCCCTGATCTCTGCTGTACCTCATCCTCTTGTTTATGAAGTTGCTTAGATAGATCAGTTTCCTCCAGTGTCTGTCCTTGAGCTGCCAGTTCTTGGTTCAGTTGCTGGATCCTGTCCCTCTTGATATTACCAGCACTCACCAGTACACTCTTTAGGGCTCTCAGACCACTAGAGAGAGAGAACAAGAAGTTTAAACTTCAAAGGGAAAGATATACATGTACATGTACATGTACATATTGCATATTGAATTCGCATGATGTAGGGACGACATGTATTATGTACATGTAGCTGTTAAAGGCTAAAAGGCTAACGTACATGTACTTTACATGCAAAAGAAAGATTTTAATCCTCTGACAAATGCCTCGTTATTCATCAAATACCAAAACAGGTTTGACAACTTATGGCTTGTCATCTAATGCTCATAATATGAATACTTCTAATTAAAGCCCATGCAATTCTAATTAAAGCCCAACATTTGCTTACTTAAAGAAAGGTACTATAGTCCTGAAACCCTGAGAGTACAACATCACCTGGGCAATAAGGGGTCAATCACGCGTTGTCATAGCAATTAAGACTAAAAAAAGGCAAGAAATAAAATAAAAACATGTACAATTATTATTATTATTATTATCATGATTATTATTAATATTATTATTATTATTAATTGGTTGCGATTTTCAAACAAATGCCTCAAACAATCATTATAACAATAAAGCAGTTGACAGGCAAACTGGTTTGACCAGTTGACGGTGACAGATCATCTTGTCATCTGACGTCATCACTAAATCACATGACAAGAAACATGTACATGTAGAGGTACATGTAATTTAAAAATTAAACTATAAAGTTTGTTTTAAAAAGCACAAAGTAGGAGGCAAAAAAGCACACCCACAAAAATTAATTAATTAATCATGTTAAATAGAGATCTGTTAAACATGCAATTGATTTCTTACCTTCTGAATAGTAGCTTGTAGGATCTTCCCGTAATACAGTCACTGACAGACAACAAACAAATAATCTTGTTGTTTCTTGCAAATGCTTTACAAAAACGAATAATCAGTCTCTTAGCAATTAGCTCCCCGATTTGAGGAAATTTTACATTAATGACTGCAACAAGTGCAGTGTACACCTTAGTAAAGGTGGGTAAGGCCGACTGTGCTGTAATGACTGCAAGTGCCAATAATCCTCTAATAAAAAGAACAAAATAATATTGAAAATGAATAATTAGAGTATATATGTAAATATCTTACCACCCATGGACTAAATTTTCTTGTACTAACTCCCTGACAATGCTGGCAATATTTGACACGTTGACCTAAGGAGGTGTGTCTGTGATCATGTGACAGTCATGTGATTGTACATACCTTGTTAATTAGACCATTAGTGCTCTTATTAAGAGCCTCCCATGCCATCCTTTGATATGGAGCACTAGAGAGAGAGAGAAAATTAAAAGAAATAATTACTTTAAAATAACTAAAATTCCCATACCTGGCTGTATCTGTGCTTGCATGATTTTTTATCGAGCTGGAGGAATATAAGCCCCACCTACATTAATTAATAAACCAAGGTTGCAATAATACAAACCTGTCTTTGTCAAAATGGGAGTCATCATATTTCTTTCTCTTCTTCACCCACTCACTGGCACCATCATCATCTCTTGAAGCATCTTCTCTTGTGTCACTGTATAATCAAAACCAAACCCACTAATAAAACACACCCATTACTAATTAACTATAATGTAATTTGGACGAATGAAAGGTTTGGCAGATATCTATTTTGTGGTCATGTGCCATTGAGCATGCACAACAATTGTTTAAAATGGTGGCTATCAAAATGCAATCCACAATAACCCACTGTACAATATTAATATATTATCTTACGGTGATGGAGATCTCTTTCTTTTGTGTGGTAGCTAAAGACAAAGAGTTATTATTAATTAAAGATATATCTACATACTGTATAAGTCTTACTTTTAAGGCTATTTAGGGACAGACAGTGTCAAACCATAGATAGTCAAACAGAAAAATACACGTGAATCGATTATACGTTCATAACATGTGAAGTCACGTGGTTACTTTAGTTAATAAGTAAGGCCACTCCAATTAAATTCATAGTTTCCCGTTGCCCGCCCGCATACTGCCGCGCACCAAATTCATTAAAATCGATAATTTGTCCTTATTATCTGTACCCACTCATTTACTGACCGACCTGACCGACCAGACTGACCACAGCGATGAACTCGTTTACTGACCACTGACCCGCCGGACCTCCGTCTACGCTCGTTGGCCCACGTGATCTCGCGTGCTACTGACCAAAAGATTAGCTTTTGTATTGGTGGATATCATAAGTCAAGGAGCCATTGAAGTACGTTGCTTATTTCAGAAGTACCTACATGTACTAGAGTACCTTATGTATGATCGGACACCACCTATATTCGGACACTCAAAAAAACTTTTCTAGCTTGCAAAACTTTCTTTATTATATATCGTTTTAAAGAGCAGGAATGCCTCATTTGTTCTTCCAAGTTTCAAGCTCTTACTAAGTTTAGCGCAGAAGTTACGTGGTTGAAAAGACGAGTGACCGATCATCCCGAAGATCGGTCAGATTTCACCATTTTTCGTACAAAGAATTTTGCACAATACTTAGTACAGTTTCAAGCCATACCAGGTAACCAACAAAAACCTTGATGTATCAGCAAGAAATTGATGCAGCATTCATGGCACTTCTTGCTTCTACACAGAA